TGTCCTTACAATTCTTCAAGAACTGCATTGCTATGATTTAACAATCTTTGTCCAAGATAAAAAGTTATATAGACAGAAAATATTGAACCAGTAACGTAAATGATGCATTCAATTTTGTCTTTAAAACTGTTTAGAATTATAGAAAATTGAAGAATCTAAAAGAAAATATAAAATAGTATGATTTATGATAGTATAAAACTTTATTTCGATATTTTAAAAAGTATATCTGCACCTTGTTCTATAGTCAAACAACTTTATTAAAAAAAGATAGTATTACTTTATAGTGTAAAAATTGTGCAAACCTGTATTTTCAGAAAGGTTTTTCTTAAAAACTGTTATATCAGCAAAATAATTAAAACAGATCAATTGCTACACGTAAAACGTTAAAGTTTCAAGTTTTTTAAACATTTCAAAACGATTACTATAAAACACAAATTAAACTTATCGAATAATACAAAAAATGAAAAAGTCTTACTTTACTCATATTATTACCAGCAATGTGTAATTAATCCATTGAAATAATAGAAAAGATTATTCGTAAAAATAAAAACAAAACGAGATATTTATAAACGATATAAATTCGCTATTTCATCTAACGTGTTTGACTTACATATAAAAAATTAAAAATGATAACAATCATTGCGAGAAGTATTACGATCAAGTAAAAAATACTCGATAAGTATCGGAGCCTCTTGACATATCTTAAAAAAAAATTATTTAATTTGATGATAATCTAATTTTAATAGATAATAGTTATAAATTAGTACTTACTCTATAGATATTGTATGACGATTTACAATATCACTTATCCAATTGAATTCTTCCGTTAGTGTGCTAAAATAGATAGAATTATGTATGGATATTTCATTTCTTTCAAATGGTTGACGAATTTTTAATCTGCGTCAAAAAAAAACAACATTTTAGGGTAAAAGTTGGATGCATAATAATAACTTAAGTAAATAAAAATTGGAAACGCACCTAATAATGCTACATTGACAGCAGGCGTGCTGAATGAAAACCAAAAATGTTGAAAGACTAATACTGCCAACTGTTGCTGCCATAATAACTGTTACTGACTGGCCAATAAGCATGCAAAAATACATCATCCCAACGTGATCAATATTATTTTCGGTTAATGGTAATATTAATTGATGATCCTCCAATATACCAATAAAATATAAAAAAACATTTAAAATTGATGGGAATATGATTAAAAGGCAGTTAACATCAAAGAAAACTGTAAAAGGTAAAGAAAACATATACTTCAAGAATATGAAAAGTCATAAACTAATAGCTAATAATTACTCACACTTACACATTAAAGCATACACAAAAGATTTGCTTTGGTTGGTATACTTTTTGAAAATGTCCATTTCATCTTGATCGGAAATTTTCTCGTGATCAAGTTTTAAGCGAACAATAAGTAATTGTATCTTAAAATAAACATGAAATATTTTCTATAAAGTGTTCTTAAATTACAGCAAGGAATTTAACTAAAAAATAAAAGGCTACTAACTGTTAGGAAACGAAAATATCCAACACTATAAGTAGACATGAAAATAAAATGTGATATCAATCTCTGAATCAGTATAATAGTTGATCTCCCGATCGACTTTGATGTAAAGAGCTCACACAGCTGCACGAATAGACAATTTTTGCATAAGTAACATGTTGAAGCTAGAAAATTTGTTTCTCTTTAAATTAGTAAAATATATTTAAAATCGTAGATTTTAATGAAATCTAATAAATAAAAACAAAATTAAGTTATATGAGATAAAACAGAATCACTGTTTAAAAACAATTATAATAAATAAAAGTGACATATAGGGTAAAAGAAAAAAAAAATACAAGTACCATTTGGAAAACAAATGGTGACGTGTAGATAACTACTATCGAATACAACAACAACTGCTTCCTTTGGTTTCCGTTAGGACATTGATTCGTTAAGAACTGAAAGCAACGATTTGAGAAAAGAAAATGATGTTTCCCTAAATCTCGTTTTTTAGAAGACATGGTAAAATATCTCACGAGATCCTACGGCAAACTGAACGAAATACAACCTTTTACTTACCCCTAACTAATTCAAATTGCTATCTACTTCGAATAGTGTAAAATTACAACAATCATAGTAATGATTGAAGTACTATAAATTAATCAATAAAATTGTTGGTAAAATAATATCCTCTTATCTTA